GGTAGAATGAGGTTGGTGGCAGTGTAGACATGTATGTTTGGAAAAGCTCCTTAGATGATTCTGGTGCACATATCTGGTAAAATAGAGGCCGGAACCAAATACAAAAGCTAAAGAGCATTTACCTTTCCCACTTTTGCAGCCTTTTCCCTGTCACTACCCCCCAAATAGTGTGCTAATTCAATAAAGAATCTTTTATGAGAACTCCCATGTTACTCCTTCCTCGCTTTTACTAGTCACTTTGGAAATGTGGTGTTCTTGGATCAGCAGATTATATGAAAAAGTAACAGCCAAATAATATTGATAATGGTGGGACCTCCCTTCAAGCTTTAAAATCTTCTAATCAGTTCTTGATGTGACTTTTATCTGAAGCTTATTATCTCTGTCATTATCTCTTATTCCTGTTTTGGTTAGAAAAGGGATGACTCTGGTATAAGTGGCAGTTCTTTCTATCCCTCATAGTTTATGAGGTGCCCCCATTCTTTAGCTAGAGAAACTTCTGGTAGGAAGGACTTAGCTAAGAGCAGTCTTAATCCTGGTTCCAGGACCTATATATAAGAAAGAGATCATTAAACCTTTTCCTGTAGCTGAATGGCCTGGGCCATAAGTGGTCTTAGGCTGAGAGTGGAGATATTTTGAAGGGCGGTGGGATGTTCCCATTCATCCTCCCACTTACAACTTCTTCTCCTTCATTCTCTCATCCATAGCGGCCTTCCTCACCCAGTCTGTCTGTCTAGATGACACAACAGTCAAGTTTGAGATCTGGGACACAGCTGGGCAGGAGCGATACCATAGCTTGGCCCCTATGTACTACAGAGGTGCCCAAGCTGCAATTGTGGTTTATGACATTACTAATCAGGTAAGTGAGCTGAGAAGATTATCCTTGCTTTTATTTATAGGAATTAAATTAGGTGGGAAAGAGAAAACCAGTTCTTGAAATAGCAAAATAAGAGTACAAATTATGCTTCCAAGTGCTGAGAAGACAGAGGTAATGAATGATCAGAGACAGGTGGTTTCAGTGAGGGACGGCCACCTAGAAGAGGTGAGTTTTGAGGCTAGGTTTTGAAGGTAATGGGCCTAGATTGGCAATCATTCCAGCCCACCCATTCTCTTCCTCATGTTTTCCTAGGAAACCTTCGCTCGAGCAAAGACATGGGTAAAGGAACTACAGCGACAGGCCAGTCCTAGCATCGTTATTGCCCTGGCAGGGAACAAAGCTGACCTGGCCAACAAGCGCATGGTGGAGTATGAAGTAAGATGGCCTACAGAGTCCCTCTCTAACACACTCTCTCTGTGTTTGGGACCTCTTTTTTCCAAACCTGTCCTCTCTGAAAACCTCATCTGAGGACTTTCATCATCTCATTCCCCAGTTCTGCACCAAGTTAAATACAGCAACACTGTGACCCTAATGACAGCCAGGAGATTTTAGAGGAGTCAGAAGAAAATTCCAGAGCAGAGGGGTAGGGGAGTACCAGCTGTGGGGGTACCAGTGTGAAACAGGAAGGAGGGAGCAATTGAATTTGAGGTAAGGGACTCTTCAAGTGTCAGAACCCAAAATCCCCAACCAACTTACCTTCTCCCCCATAATTAAGATTCTTCACATCTGTTTGTTGGATTAAGTGGTCTAAACCATGAGTTATCCTTGAGGGAGTCGTCATCAAAATATGAGTCCAGGGCCACCTGGCTCAGAGGGACAATTAAGGGGAGGGAACCTAGCATATTGCCAGGTGGTGCTACAAGGGAGTGGAAAGGCAATACTTGTTCCTACCCTACATTCTAAGTGCCAGTATACCCCACACCTTGCAGGAGGCCCAGGCGTATGCAGATGACAACAGTTTATTGTTTATGGAGACTTCAGCCAAGACAGCTATGAACGTGAACGACCTCTTCCTGGCAATAGGTAAGGTCACAGCAGCCTTGAGGTCTTCATTGTCTTCCCTTGCCTCTAGGCAAGATCACTAACCCAAGTCATAAGGATGGATGGGAGTGTCTCTTCTCGTGAAAACTTTAGGTATGGAAGTACCTTAACTTTCCATTGTGACCTCCATCCTTTGTTTACAGCTTGAACCTCCCTGACTTCAATGTAGTTTACAAACAGTGAACCCTCCCCTCTTCAGAACATTCTTTTAATTTCTCACATTTCTCCTTTCCTCCCTAATTCTCCCCCACCCAATAGTCTTTTGGGGGGATGAGTAAAATCTACCATACTTTGTTCCTTTCTCTTTTTATCTTTAGCTAAGAAGTTGCCAAAGAGTGAACCCCAGAATCCAGGGGGTGCAGCAGGCCGAAGCCGGGGTGTGGATCTCCATGAGCAGTCCCAGCAGAACAAGAGCCAGTGTTGTAGCAACTGAGGGGGTGGCTAGCAGCAACCAAGTATGGAGCTAGCACGAGAGCTAAGAAATAACCTCCATCCCCACCCCTCAGCACACAGCCCCTACGGTAACAGCACACTGAGCCCTGGCTCCCAAGGGCTGCCTCCTGACAGCTCTGTCATGGCACTTTTTAACGCTTCAGCAACCAACACCAGGCAGCTGTTGCCACTGGCCTCCTACCCCTACTCTGGGGTTTGGGGGTCAGATCCCCCAGGACTTACCTTCCAAAACAAACTTTCTTCACTTTGTATTATAGGTGCAAAACAGTGACCTACTTATCTTTCCTCCTCCTCCCCATTTTTTCAGAAAACATTTTTGTCTCCTGCCCCTTCCCCTTCTGCTTTTGGTCAATCCCTGTTCTTGATCCCCTTTTCCTCCTCTCCCCAGGATGGAGAAGGTGGTGAAGCCAGGAACTGAGGAAGGAGGTCTCCAGTTCAGTCACATTAAGGGCCCTGGGGGAGAGTAAGGCTCAGAGCAAGAGGGAGTAAGGAAACATTTCCCTTTTGTTTTTATTTGGTTGGTGTTTCCCATATTTGAAAACACTGCAGTATCCATGAGTTGGCCTTGTGGAGGATGTTTCTAGGTAGAGGTGAGAATGGGAAGGCAAGCTCTTGGACACCAGCTGGGAGTTGTGTTGTTAGCCAACTGGGCGGAGGTGGAGATGCAGTGTCATCTGTGACTCCAGAACTCTTCCAAGACCTAGTTTCCCCTCACCCAGCCTCTTAGGTAGCTTCTCCCCCATAGTGGGGGAGACTCTGGACCCCAGAGTCCTCCAAAGAATCTTCACTGGTTGCCTGCATCTTTGGCTCTGCTGTGATCTAATCAGAGGAGGAACCAGTTTCTGTCATCCATCCTCTGATTTATACATATGCATTTTTTTTCTCTCTGGCCCTTAGATGGTCTCAGCCCCAGCCACTATATTCCCTGCAGTTTGCACTTTAATTGATGGTAGTTTGGTTGGGATACTTGTTTTATGGGGGTTTTGATTGATTTACCTGCCCTCTCACCTTTTTAAATGGAATCCGAGGTATACATAAGGTTTGGGACGGGCTGTAGAGAACAGGACCAGTGGCAGCTACTCAAGCCCAATCTCCACTGCTAGCTTCCTCCAACTCTGATTCTTAACCTATATTCTTGCCAACCTAGCTCTTGGGTGTAGGTTTGCCTTTCCTGGGGAATTAACCAAGCAACTGGAGAGTGGTCTCAGGATAGCACGGGCCAAGGTAGGGGAACAAAGAGGAGTCAGACCAGAGGGAGGAGTTTTCTGTCCTTTCCCAGGTTCACATTTAGTTTGATCCACCCATTACCATGTCTTTTCTACTTCCCTGTAAATAGGTATGATCTTTATTCCCACTGTACAGTCTGTTCTGTCCCCCACCTCCCATCATGCTCTATTTCTTTTCTCCTGTGTTAGTATCGTCAGTTTAGTCCGTCTATGCTTATCCCCATACCCATCCCCCATGTAACCAGTAGTTTAATCCATGTACCACTAGGGGCTCTACCACAGGTCTACTTGTGGCCCCCTCATATCAAAACAGCTGTTCCTGTGCACAGGGAACATCTGGCACTGAAGGTCCCTCACAGCTGTCTCACATCACCAGAGGACTTTGGTCCTTCCTAAATCTCTAGCCTCTCTTCACATCCCTCATTAGGTATTTTAGGATGTCTTTTGGAAGCCATCAAGGCAAGAGAGAACTCTAAATTCCTTCTTGTTCCAGCCCAGAGTTTTGGGAAAATTGGAGGAAGTAAGATAGGAAAGGCCCCAGTGACCTAGGATTGGAATCTTTCTGCCCTTTTGGCTTGCAGACTGCCTTCCGTCCCAGAGCAGCTGAGAAATCCATGAAGCTGAGATTCTGAAGGACCCAGTGTAGGTTCTTCCACTTAGATCTCAATTCCCTTCCTTTTCCAGGGGCAGCCTTAGTTCCTGTGGCCCTGAAATACACATACCTTTTTCCCTTCCTTTCCCAGCACCCACTAGCCCCTAACAGTACCCATTGCATTCTTACCAGTGGAAGAACTAGGACGGCTGCTCTCTTAAGTCTCTTAGAAATGGAGTTCTTTCTCTGCGCAGCTTTCCCCGTGGAGCAGGAGTGAAGATGCTTCGTTGCCTTGGGGCTGGGAAACCATTTCTCCAGCTTCTTGCCTCCGCAACCCCCTTAGGAACAGGATTGGCCTTAGCTTCTGGGCCTATCTGCTGCCTTCCTTCTACTTCCTACCAGCTCGTCTGCTTTCCTTTGAGCTCTGTTGGGCTTGGGGATCTTAGTTTTTATTTCCCAGCTCTTCATTTTTTTCTTCAAATCATTTTTTTTAAGAGGGGGTGTCCCTTTTTTTTTTTTTTTTGCTTTTAAGAAAGCATTTGCCTTTTTTCCCCTTTCTTCCTCTCCCAACATAACAATCGTGGTAACAGAATGCGACTGCTGATTTACCGATGTATTTAATGTAAGTAAAAAAGGAAAAAAAAAAGAAAAGTGTATTGGAGTGTTACTTCTTTTTTTTTTTTTCTATTTGTCTGTCTGATACAAGAAATTTGGAAGAAAGGACACTCAATAATGTTTTATTGAATCAGAAACATACTCTCTCCTGCATCTTGGTACCTCCTTATTCCTTTTAATCTTTTCTTGAATAGTGAGATAACCCAATTTGGAGAAAAGCCCTTTATTGCTGTTTAATCACTCCTGTTCCCAGGCCACTAGAGCTCATCATGTCTGACCCTAGCTAATTTTTTTAGGCCCTCTGAACAGAATGTATATATAGGGAGGAGTCTGTGGCCCTGTGGAAAGACAATTGATGAGATTGGAGGGAGAGGTGGTATTTGTGAATCTTTCTAAGTATTATGCAAAAACTCATGTGCATATCTCTAGGGAGAGGGTCCATTGCATTATTAGTATCTCAGAGGAATCCATGACCTAAAAAAGGTTAAAAAACAATACTGCATTAGCATTTTTGATCATGTGGCTTCCACCCCAACAGGAAAATTTCTCCTCCATCTGCTCTTATTTCCCACTGTACTTGAAGCCCTTTAGTCCCTCACAGTCTAAGTGGTGGGTGGGGGAGAATGATACCGAGAAAAAATTAGGTATGGTAGCAGGAGTTGTTTTAAATTGCAAAGAATCTGAAGGACAGGAAAGAGGACTGGTGCCAGACAGACTGGCATTCTAGTCTCTGCCAACTTACCAGCTGTGGCCTTGATCAAGTTACTTAGCTGCTCTCTGCCTCAGTTTCTTCTGTAAAGTGAAGAAAAGTTACGATTTAAAAGTCAATTATGTAAAGTATGTGCATGCATACAAGAAGGTGACACTGTTATTAGTGAGAAGTCTTATCCGTGGCTTCAGACAGTCCCTAACTGAGTTCTGTGTATCTTTGGGCTGAGCCTGTTTTTTAAGACTGGTAAGACAGGTCGGGCAACAGGTCTCTCCAATGATTTAATTGTACAAATTGAGTTGGAAATCTATTTCCAGAAACTTTAGAGCCAAAATAACCTTTTCACTGTCAATTCCCCTTTCTGTATATCTCTTAGTACTCCCCTCAAGCCTCCTTGATTCCTGGTAAAAGCTCAAGTTAAGGTTAGGAGAGCAGAAAGGGAGGGGAAATGATCTTCCAAAATTAAAGATGATCTTCAGTTGTACTTTGAATAAGGTGTAGCTCAACTTTATGATCTCTAGAGGGCAGTGTGGATGCGTTTGCCACAGGTTTACAGCCAGCCAATGCCAAGTTTTCAGCCCCGAACCAAATGATAAAAGGGTTATAGCAAACGATTTCTATTGTGCCCTTTACTCTGAGATTATGAGCGATTATAATCCTCCTACTTTTGGGTGTTAAATGTCATTGCTCTTGTTAAATGACGATTTTTTTAAAAGTGAATTTAAGCAAAATAAAAAAGATGGCTGTTCGGTGTTGTTGTTTCCATAATTTGGGGAGAAATTCGACTAGTCCAAGGAATCTCTAAGTCTGAACTACTACTTAGGCTTCATTTCTGCTCTCATTCCTAAATATAAGGGAGTTGAGCGCTTGACCTTGTTTTTTTCTAAAAGATAAACAGAGCTGTTTGTAGTTGCAACACAGATGTTTGTCAAAAACGGTAGAGGCGGAGCTCACCCCTGGGAGAGCGGGCTGGATCCTGAGGCTGCCGCCATTGTACGCACCTTGTGTCTCAGCTATAGGTGCGGGGCAAGGGCATCTCAAAGTTTCCCACCTCTCAGCCCAACCTTGAGTTCTTGTCACCTTCCACTTCCCGGTTCCGGACATCAGTGAGGGTCCCCTTCTTTATCCAGCGTGGGTGGAAACAAAAATTTAGCCTGTCCTAGCTCCGAGCCCTCGTGGCGCCCCGCCTGCCTCGGCCTTGAGGAGGCGGGGACAGCAGCTTGGAGGCGGCCCGCGGCCCTCCAATGGCTGGGGGACCAGTCGAGGGGCGAGAGTGGTCCTTTACTATGGCCCAACGTCACGGCGCTGGCCCCGCCCCTTAGCCAGCCGTCGCCAGGACGCTGGACGAGTAAGGCAGTCGCTGCGCGGACGCCGAACCGGGTAAGGGCTGGGTCGGGGAGAGGGAAGAGAAGGGTGGATAACCCGGGCAACAGCGGGGCTTTGGTGCTCCGAATCTCAAGGTTGACAAACTGCCAGTATCCGCGTCCACTCCCGCTGCCGGGAGGGTTCCTGGGTGGGGCACGGGATGTGGCTACAAGACACTCGTCCCAGCTGCTGGGCAGTGGCATGGGACTGGGTGCTTGCGCCCAGTGCTGGACACGTCCTCTTACCTAAAGTCCCCCTGGGGGGTGAAGGGGCATCACCTGCACAAAGGCATGGCATCTGTTTTGTTGCAGGAGGCTGCCTCCCAAACCTGGGACCTTGGGCTGACCGAGTTCCCTGCAAGTCAGCCCTACCTGCACCGCTCCTGTCAGGTTCAAGTGGGCTACTGGGATTGAGGGCAGGTGGAAGGGAGACTGAGGGTCCCATGGCCCAGGAGTAAAATGTAGACTCCTCTGCTCCTACTCCTATCTCCCTCGACTGTTTCTCTGCCTGCCCCGCACTTTAGCATCTTATCCGCAACTGGGACTCTTCCCACCCCTCCCCATTCGGGCCCTCCCCAGGGGCATCAAGGATATGCTCAGTGTTGGGAGAAAGACACTGTTGCAGGGTGGAGACCAGAAAAATGACCTTTTGCCTTCTCTAGCTCATCCTCTGGCACCCTGGCTATTAACTCCTCATTTGCTGAGCTCACTGGAAGGGCATAGACAAGGTATGGGTGGAGACCCCAGGTTAGAATCCAGTCCCCAGCTCGGTTCAGTTGTTTTTTTTCTTTTTTTTTTTTTTTAGGGTGGATGGGGGAGAGGCGGGGACTGAAAGGCCTTCAAAAACAATGGTATTACTTGTTTACTCACCACAGCAGCTCTGCTAGGTAGATCTCATTTCATAGATGAGGATGCAAGTTCAGAGAGGCTTGGTATCTTGCCCAGGGAACATGGCTGGTTAATGGCAGAGCCAGTTTCCCAAACCCAAAGCAGCCTGACTCCAGAATCTCAACCCATTAGGCTGCCACTACCTTTTTCACCTTTTGTCCCTCTTTAAGTCAGTCTGCCCCTCAGCTGTCCTCTGCTGACTTCAGAAATAATAAACTGGCCAACTGGACAATAGACATTTGGCTTCTACCTTTTAGGCCCTTGACCCCAGACATTGTTCTCTGTAGTGGACAAAGTAGAGAGTGGAGCATGGGAGACAGGTGATTCCAGAAGACTCGTCCCCCGCTCCATTCCCTTCCATCCTGTCAACACAGTCTGTCTCTGAGTGCTCCAGGTTTTCTCTAAGAAATCATTTGGATCCCTATTCCCATCCTTTGGCCTCATTACCACAGAAAAAGTCTCCCCATTTGCCCAGCGAGCTCCTTGCTGACCTCTGTGTCTTCCTCCCACCCATTCCCTCAAGCTGTCCCTAATATCATCCCCTCCCAGGAGTCTTTATCTTGATTCCTAAATCTTCCTCCTACAGTTCTGCCACAATGCTGCTGCTGCACAGAGCTGTGGTCTCAGCATTCCGACACGCCTGCAGGTAAGCCATCCCATCCTAGGGTTTATCTCCTAGCTCACATCTCCCACTCCCAGTCTCTATGATGTCTTATCTTATGTGCCAGTTGAGATAGTGGCCTGAAAGGAAAGGGAAAGCCAGATCCCACCTGTCTCACCCTTTTCTTGAGAAACTAAGTTCCAACTGAAGGAACTAATGGCCAACCAGGAGAGGTATACCTCAGGCCTTCAATGGCCCTTTCATATGATCAGGAGAGGTGTGCTAAGAAGACCTCACTCTCTTCCAGATTCAAGTCCACCTCCTCAAAGCTCTGCATTCAGGCCTGCTCTACGAATGATTCATTTCAGCCCCAGTGCCCCAGCCTTACCTTTTCTGGTAATAACTCCAGCACCAGGGGATGGAGAGTCATGGGGACCCTGCTAGGCCTTGGTGCAGTATTGGCCTATCATGACCACCGGTGCAAGGTAAGTTGGGAAAGGACTTCACTGTCAGAACAAGGTGGCCCTAGTGAGCTCCCCTAGTGGCAACCTGGGCTGTTGCCACAGAGCCCACAGTGACACTGTCTTCATGCACAGTAGAGATGGAATCTGCTGCCTCCATTTCCCAGTGGCCGTGACTTTGTGGGTTGGGTCAGGGTGAGCTAGAGTGATTTCTTCTTAATTTCTGTTCCCTTTTGCCTCATCCCTGCCCTGCCTGCAGGCTGCTCAGGAGTTACCACGCATATACACAAGGGAGGAAGTAAGATCCCACAGCAGCCCTGAGACTAGGATCTGGGTGACTCTGGGCTCTGAGGTCTTTGATGTCACAGAATTTGTGGACCTACACCCAGGGGGGCCATCCAAGCTGATGCTGGCAGCTGGGGGTCCCCTAGAGCCCTTCTGGGCCCTCTACGCTGTTCACAACCAGTCCCATGTGCGTGAGATACTGGCTCAGTACAAGATCGGGGAGCTGAGCCCTGAAGACAAGGCGCCCTCCACCTTGAAGACCTCTGACCCTTATGCTGATGATCCTATACGTCACCCAGCCCTGAAGGTCAATAGCCAGCGCCCCTTTAATGCAGAGCCCCCCCCTGAGCTGCTGACGGAAAACTATATCACACCCAACCCTATCTTCTTCACCCGGAACCATCTGCCTGTACCTAACCTGGACCCAGACACCTATCGCCTCCATGTAGAAGGGCCACCTGGAGGTCAGTCACTGTCCCTATCCCTGGATGACTTGTACCAGTTCCCGAAGCATGAGATCACAGTCACCCTGCAGTGTGCTGGCAACCGGCGCTCTGAGATGACTCAGGTCAAAGAAGTAAGAGGTCTGGAGTGGAGTATTGGGGCCATTAGCACTGCACGCTGGGCTGGGGCACGGCTCTGTGATGTGTTAGCCCAGGCTGGTCACCAACTCTGTGAAACTGAGGCCCATGTCTGCTTTGAGGGACTGGACTCAGATCCCACAGGGACTGCCTACGGAGCATCCATCCCTCTGGCTCGGGCCATGGACCCTGAAGCTGAAGTCTTGTTGGCATATGAGATGAATGGGCAGCCTCTGCCTCGTGACCATGGCTTCCCTGTGCGTGTGGTGGTTCCTGGTGTGGTGGGTGCCCGCCATGTCAAATGGCTGGGCAAAGTGAGTGTGGCATCAGAGGAAAGTTACAGCCACTGGCAGCGGCGGGATTACAAAGGCTTCTCTCCATCTGTGGACTGGGACACTGTAGATTTTGACTCAGCTCCATCTATTCAAGAACTTCCTGTCCAGTCAGCCATCACAGAGCCCAAGGACGGGGCGACGGTAGAGTCAGGGGAGGTGACTATCAAGGGCTATGCATGGAGTGGTGGTGGAAGGGCTGTGATCAGGGTGGATGTGTCTCTGGATGGGGGCCTAACGTGGCAGGTGGCTAAGCTGGATGGAGAGGAACAGTGCCCACGAAAGGCCTGGGCCTGGCGGCTATGGGAGCTGCAAGCTCCTGTGCCAGCTGGGCAAAAGGAATTGAACATTGTTTGTAAGGCTATAGATGACAGCTACAATGTGCAGCCAGACACCATGGCTCCAATCTGGAACCTGCGAGGCGTGCTCAGCAATGCCTGGCACCGTATCCATGTCCATGTGCGTGCCAACCCATGAGAAGATGAGATGGAACCATCTACTCCCCAGAACCACCTTCTCAACCCGTTTCCACTTCTGTCCTTTGGCCTTATTACCACAGAAAAACCTTTCCCTCCATCTCTCCACTTCTTGGATCACAACCCTGTATTATGCCTTCCTAAGCCACACACAGGTACACACACTGCACATTTCCACCCAGGCACCCGCCCTCCTCTGACACTATGTTACAAACCCCTCCAGGCCAGCCACTCACCCTGTGCCAGGAAGTGAGAGCTGCTGAAGCAAGGGGCTACAAGTGGGAAAAGTGATTCCGGAGACAGCACTATTTTCCAACTCCACTGCATTCTAATGCCTGTCACCACCGAGGCCTTCTTTTGCTTTTCTTCTTCGATTCTTCAGAGAAGGTGTGTGGATATATGTAAGAAAATTGTGTATGCAACTTTCAACTGCCTCTCTGGGTTACCAGGGTTTGTGAGGGGCACAGTCCTCTCCCTTTACAGTTCCACTTTTCTAAATACACTAATAAAGTATTTGTTTAAGTCTACAATTCTGAAAAAAGAAAAAAAAGATGATTTTTGGGACCTCTTGAGGCTGGGGAGTGAGAATGTTGCAGGAGGGAGGTGCAGTGGTACTGGGACGAGTAATGAGAGAATCCAAAACAAAAGGTCCGGGGAGGAGAGAAAGGAAGCAGATGCAAGGAAGTCAAGAAGTGGGGCTTCCTTCTCTGAGGTCAGCATCTGCAACGCTGCTGAGGTGAATGACCTCAGGCTACCCCTCAAGGGATAAAAAAAATTGGCATCTTAAAGCCCCTCCCCTCACAACTCCTACACCCTTGGCAGGAAAGGCAAAGAATGCTAAGAGGTTAAACAATATTGTTTTTGGAGGGGCAGGGGGAAAACTTGGCCCTAGGGACAGATGTGCCAGGGAACGTGTGCCTAGTTTGCAAATTAGATGCAGATGAACGGGCAGTCATTCATTGAGTTACCTTCGGCACGCGACCGCGCCTTTCGGACTTGAAGCTTTCGGTGCTCGGCTACTCTCCCCTAGCGCTTTTCCCTTCTTTCCCCAGCAGTCTCCCGGCTTGCGGGCGCTCGGTGTTCGGCCGCGGCGCCTGTCGCCTGG